TGTCGGGGCCTTATATATATATCCGACTATACGGTATTTGTTTCTTTATTGTTTAAGGCTGTTCGGTTGCTTATAATTGCTTACATCCACTTCATTTGAACTTTGGTGGATAATTGTCTTATTAGCAATCATACCACATCTCCTTTTTTTTAATATAGGTCTACGAGATTGCTTTGCATTATGTTAACTCAACACTAAACGATTATCCATCATGAATATCTATTTGAATTTTGTTTAAATAGATTTATAGTTTTTATTTATCCGTAAATTATAAACACCGCTGTTGTAGCTTTGACTGAAATTATCTTTATATGCAGCATCTTTCATGTGTTTGGCTTCTAATAAGTCGTTTTGATTTCTTCTCTTTCGTCTTCTTCTTGTTTGAATGCTGTAAGGTTTTGTTTTCATTTATTTGTGCTCATTATATTTCAAACATTTTTGATTCAGATAGATATTTTCAATTAAAAAAAAGCTGAAAATGTCACAGAAAAAAGTTATGCGTTATTTAAAAAAGACAATTTAAGTCTAGTAGTAGAGATGTCTAATGAGAGGCGAAATATACCAAAAGGATATTCAAACTCATAAGTCGGAATAACGCGACAGAGCAGTGTATCAAAAAAGAAAAACGATCCAAAACGAGGCATACAAATCACAACATAGAAAACTAAAGAAGGAGCAACATTAGCCCACTGAAATCTGAGGGTATATCAGTTATTCGAAGGCTAAGCATATCCTTCTCCACATGTGACACCCGTCATGTTGTTCATGTAAGTACAATCCTGGTAATATAATTTAGTAGGTCACATTTGAGGAAAAGTGGACGGATTTTAATTACGAACATTGGAATTTATCCGTCGTCATTTGTAAAAACAGATATTCAATAACAGTCAACCAACTTGTGATAGCGAAGGGATGATTTAAAGATCACTACTTGGAACTCTTGGTTTGATAGCTTTCTTGTAAGCAGCAATCCTCTATTATGAAAATAAAGATATGAAATGCAAGCTCTGTAATGTGGTATCAACTAGGAGATAGACACGCCATACGCAGGTGCTGCTAGAGTTAATATAGAAGCAATTTTGACAGGAAGAGTAGCACAGTTGGTTCCCGTGGGAATGCCGATTGTTTGTTGAACAACATGTCCTCTAAACGTAACAAAAATGTTGTCAATCAGGAAATCAACCATCTTGAAAATGTCAGTTTCAGATAATTTTTTGTTTGAATCTGAGATTTCTTACAACGTACGATTTATCCCTCCAACAGACAAGATGCTTTTATCTACGTTGGCAATTCCTTTTTCAGTTTGGAATTTCCTTTTTAGTTTGGAATTGGGAATACTTGTGTAAAGGGTAGAAAAGTAAAATGTTTAATAAATGTTGCAAAAGGAGTGAGACTTAGAATATATGTACTCTAACAGAGCTTAGCTACTACTTAGTGTCCACATCTGATATACGCAGCCCCTAGAGTAGATAGTTTTACAATAACTTTAAAGCCCAACTTTGATTGCTGATAAGATTGAAGTTGATAATTTAGAAAAAGGTTTCTTAGAGCTCTTGGAAGAATAAACAATGAACGTTGTTTTAAGGATACATGTTATTTATTTTGTACTGACTTTGAAAGTTAAAACAGAGTTTTTCCTCCCTTGGAAATGGAGATTTGTTATTTCTGCAATAATATATCAAACACTAAAACATGTTTCACAATTTTTGTTGAGTTTGACTCCATTCTAAAGCTATCAAAAAGCTTGAAAACTTTATAATAGTATTTCTGGGTTTCTGACACAATATTCTCAATACCGTAAAGAAACTCATATTTGAAGGGAAGCTGGTGACATCGAACATATTTCACTAGGACAAAGATAGCTTTTCGCATAACAGAAAAAAAATTTAAACCACTCGTGAGAATTGCATAAAATGTTTTACTGCCTAAGCAATATTTGGCAAACTTTTTTTCGAAATTTGGTTTTTAAAGCACTATAATAACTGTACTGTAGTCGACTGGCCTTCAAACTGTTGGCATTTGACCGCCATTGATGAATCTTATGTAGACGAAACCAGCGTCTGAAGTACAAAGTTATAATCGTCGTATCTTTGATCAGTTTTTATAATTCAATTCAATCAAATAACTCGAGTTAATTTCAATCAATATCACAATATCACTCGTGATGAAACCTACTATTAACAACAAATTATTTCTTTGAATTCAGATATACTCACCACCCTTAGCGCATATGATAAAATTCTTTACTACCGCATTTAACAAAAGTCAATCAAGACACATAACAGGGGTCATTGAACGCAAACAATATTCCGCGCTGCTAATGAAAATTTAATATTATAGAAATGATTTAAACTCCATTTCTGTTTAAAATCATAGTTTTCTCATTTTTCAACGAATATAATGGTATTTTCACTGAAATATTTAAACTTTGTCTCTTTTATAATCATAATATATTTTCTAAGTTTGAAATCTCTGTTTAGGCGATCTATATTTTATGGTAATTTTAAACAAAAAACAACATTAAAATTCCATAGAAATCTTCAATCTTTAAAAAAATTATTGAATTCTATCTATTATAAATATTTATTTATTTAATATTGTTTTTTTTATGGAATGGGGGAATTGTTATGAATATTTTAGGTATATTCATATGCTTTTCTTTTAACCTAATTGTTTAATTGTTACCGAATTTAGAATTCGTTTAAATTCCTACAAAGGAGTCTCAAATTAAAAAAATGTCTGGGTCAACAGTTACGCAATCAATTCTTTAAATGATAATACAATATACATATTCAAGAACAATACACATAATGTTTGATCACAATCATATAACATCATATTTGACATATGTATGTCAAATGACTTGTGGATGTTTGTTTTTAGATAAAAACGATGATTGTGTCAGCTTATTGAATTTCCTTAATAGTTCTTTATTCATATTATTATAGTTCCGTATATGTTTTTTTACCATGTCATTACACATTGTAAAACCGAAATATGTTCATATAGGTGTTACCTAAAGAAGTACACAAATAATTTCGACGGTAAGTCATTATCAATTGTTGAAATTAAGAATTTACGAGAAACAAACAAAAAATGGTAATCGATACGTATGGCGAGCGGATTTAAATTGAAACATTGATAAACTGTATAAATCAGAATAACAGAGTCTAAAGTCTAAATCTCGAATCTCGAAGTGTAATGAAAACACAATGTAATATATATAAAACCTCTAATGGTGACATTTATAGCATATACAAATATTATAGACCAGTAAATGTAAAATGTTGTACCAATTTATCGACAAAACATCAGTAAAAGGCACTAGTCAACGAATTGTTATCTGAACAGCTCTAAAAAAAACGATCACTAAATTATTAAGTAAATTTTCAGTCGTTTAGTCAATTTGCAGACTTATAACTGCCGTTTATTCAGTACTGTTTAAACAATTTGCTTGCAGTCAATTAAGATCTGCTCAGTCTATGTTGATGCTGTTCAGTAGATGGCACAATGACAATTCGCTTGCAGTCAATTGAGATCTGCTCAGTCTATGATGATACTGTTCAGTAGATGGTACAATGACAATTCGCTTGCAGTCAATTAAAATCTGCTTAGTCTATGTTGATAGTGTTCAGTAGATGGTACAATGACAATTCGCTTGCCGTCAATTAAGATCTTCTCAGTCTATGTTAACATTGTTCAGTAGATGGTACAATGACAATTCGCTTGCAGTCAATTAAGATCTGTTCAGTCTATTTTCAGACTGTTCAGTAGTTGGTACAATGACAATTCGCTTGCAGTCAATCAATATCTGCTCAGTCTATGTTCAGACTGTTCAGTAGTTGTTGCAATGTATTTACCTGTACACGTCAACATCATACTGAATTGTCTAAAAGCAACTGAACAGTAGCCATATAGACTTGGAATCAGGAGTACATGTAAAGTGAATAAATAGCTTATTCTTATGAAGACAAAATAAATGAATCAAAACCTTAATTTAACAGTATTTTCCATTCCTCATAGTGATACATTGCCTATAAGCATCCAATAGATAAGAGATGATTTTCAGAATTTTTTACCGTCTGTTTATTTTTAATTAACATGTTGCTCAAATTTCCTTCCATAAAACTATAGCTTTGATTAACACTAATATATGTAATGTATCACTAAATTTTGCATATAAAGATGAAGATGAAGAAAAAACACTAGTAAATTAATTTAATTCTTACGCCGTCATTTTGATCTCAAAATCACACGAAAAGTGTACACAACAATTATTATTTGTATTTGTTTAATCAATAATCAGACTCATTCACTGCGGTAAATTCAATACTGTTAAGGAATATGAGGAAACTCCCATGAATCAATTTATTGCTGTTTAGTATCTTCTCAGAAGTATGTTGTTAATGTGTACAGGTAAAGAACTACAGAACAGTCTAAACATAGGCTGAACCGATCTTAATTGACTGCAAGAGAAAAAAACAGGAATTAACTAAAAAAAGTCCTTATTTTCACGCAAATCAAGATCTCTAGAAATGTTTTCTTTACACACATTTATATCTCTATTGTTTGTACAGCTCTATTATATGGTCTCCTGCTCTTCAAAAAAAGCAGAAATAGTAAAGCTATCATTTCAATAGCAACATGTCAAATGATATTGAGATTTGCTTTGAATAACTACATTTTTAGAAAACATTATCTAAGGAACCTATTCATTGTTTTGGGTGAAATTTGGTTTATTTTCCAGACAATCACTTGCCATTTTAAATAAAGAAACAAACTATTTATAAAAAAACACAGGAATACATTTTCTCTATAATTTATTTACTAATTTTTATTAGAAACAAACGCTTAAACATTTAACTTCTGAAACAAATTTTGAATCAAATAATTCATATAATTATTAAAAATTCTGATTCATATGTACGTTCCTCTGTTTTGTCTTCGTAACATGTAACATGTAATGTTTTGAAAATGTATTTGTCTTTTGTCTTCTAGACATGTGCGGGATTCTCGCAAAGTTTCGAGGGAGGTCGAATGGTGACTGGATTGACCGAATGTCTCATGTTTATACAACATCGATGTTTATCATCTTTACTTTTGTAGTTGGTTTCGTTCAATTTTTTAAAGATCCGATACAATGTTGGACTCCAGCAGAGTTTACAGACTCGATGGTGTCTTATACCAAAAACTATTGTTGGGTGCAGAATACGTTCTACGTTCCCATGTTTGATCAAATCCCGGGAAATATTTCCGAGAGTCAGGATGCACAAGTTACGTATTATCAGTGGGTTCCATTGATTTTGATTTTCATGGCTTTCTTATTTAAACTTCCGAATGTCGTTTGGAGAATCTTTAACGGTGGGTCTGGAATGGATTTAGATAATGCGGTACAATTCGCAGAGGAGTCACAGCTTGTATCGATTGAGGATCAAGAAATATCGATAAAATCCCTAGCTAATTTTATGGACAAATGGTTGATCGCAAGCGATGCAAAGAATGGTATAGCAAAACAAATTGCCGCGAAATATTTAGTAATACTCTATCTATTTGTCAAGATCTTGTATGTTTTAAATGCAATAGGACAAATATTTCTTTTGAATGCTTTCCTTTCTACTAGTTTCAACTTTTATGGTTTTGAGTTTTTGGAAAATTTAAGCAGCAATAGGCCTTGGAGGGAATCACCAAGATTTCCAAGAGTAATCCTTTGCAATTTTCAGATAAGACAGCTTCACGCTGTACAGATATTTACCGTGCAATGTGTTTTACCCATCAACCTTTTCAACGAGAAGATCTTCATCTTTATATGGTTCTGGCTGGTTTTCATCGCTATTTTAGCAGTATTTAATCTTTTCATGTGGATTAAATTACTAATGCTTAACTTCAACAAGACACAAAACTGCAAAAAGTACTTGAAAATAAACAACGCACTTCACACAAGCCTTGACAAACAACTTTGTGACCAGTTCGCAGAAAATTACATGCGTGAAGATGGAGTTTTTGTACTGCGAATGATCGCGATAAACTCGACTGATCTAGTCGTTACAGATCAAGTTAAAGAGCTGTGGGAATTGTACAAAAATAAACAAAGCACAGTCAAAAATGATGAAGCCAAAGAATTAAAACCAGAAATGGTAATGATGATGACATTTAAAAGCCTCTGAATAATGAATACTTATGACATTGACACTAAGTGACTTATTTGTCTATCCAAAGTCTTCCAGATCAAATTGTTTGTGGTTCAAGATCAGAGAAATTATCGTATTCGTTGCATTTTCATGATATATAATTTCTATGGCTAGGAAAGTTCATGTAAATGGGTAATTTTGTATCTTTCTTTATTTTTCCTTATGGTACAAACATATAAAAGAAAAGGAGCACTTCGTGATTCATCTAGTTTTTTTTATTGAAAACTTGATGTATCACTAAGGAGCAATAAACCATAGAGAAATTTGCCAACATTTCCAAAAGTTACCTTTTGCGATTAGCAGATAAGACAGCTCTAGAATATTCAAAAATTTACCCTATCCAAAGAAAAACTCTTCATCTGTTTTGACAGTATGCAATCTATGTATGTGGATTTATTTGGTCATTTAACGCTAACAAAACACAGCACTGCAAAAAGTACACGAGAATGGATTATTAGCTCCTAACAAAGATTTATATAAAAAAATTGCATCATATTCGAAGAAAACTACATTCGTGACGATGATCTATTAGTGCTGAGTTGTTGTGAAATATTCGTGTGAAACGGTTGTTACCGAAGCCGTTAAAAAGATTTGAACAATATACAAAATCAAGAACGGATTCCCACAACAAATGAACATGTCGCATAATTGAATTAAGTTGTTAGGTAAGCCATGTATACCAAGAATTTATATTTTCCAATTCATCTCTGTACTTTTGAAATTAGAAAATAATTGTTTTATCTCGATTTTCTAAAAATATTACTATTTTGTGTTTCAATTTATCTTTGACATCAATTCGCTGCTTCAGAATCTGATACATTCTGGGTAATTTTTTCAAAAGCGTACATCAAAACGTTATGATTGGTTTAAAACGTACTAAACAATGGAAATTCAACCAATGACGTAACGTTATTTTCAGTTTTGTGTACGAACAATGAGATTACCCATAGTCCTTTAGATTCTGAAAAGGCGAATTATCAATGTTTATTAACATAAATGTACAAAAATGTACCGTGTGGTATAGTGCCGTATTGCTACTCTGTCCGATAAATTAAACAAAATGGCTAGGTCAATGTTTTGCTTTTTACCATTTATACTCAACAGAAAAAAAAATTATGAATTCGGATTTCGTTTTTTAGATATAAGAAGATGTGGTATGAGTGCCAATGAGACAACTCTCCATCCAAGTCACAAATTGTAAAAGTAAACCATTATAGGTCAAAGTACGGCCTTCAACACGGAGCTTTGTCTCAAACCGAACAGCAAGCTATGCATTTATACATATTTGTAATTTTTATCCTATCTTTATTCGTCATCAAATATGTTGTAGTTTTTTTTTTCTTCCTGTTTAGTATTTCGTCGTATAATGGTGTATTTCCCATTTATCTAACTGTTTTGAAATTGGATATGAATTTCAAAAGCGCCATATCATAAATATTTGGGAAAATACTTCATAAGTTTGATTAACTTTTGTCTCATCCCTTTTGCATATTGAAGCAAACAAAATATGTTTAAACTGAACTCATTTTGTAAGATTATTACAACTGTAACGGATAACAATATTAATTTTAGTTCAGATTATAACACATGTGAACATAAATTTACATTTTTCGTCAACCATTTGTCTCGATCGCCACTGTCAGTATAACAGTGAAATGTTGAATGTTGAAATCTAAGTCAGATTATATGTTTATAACTGATTTATACTTTAATCTTGGACTGTATCTAAATGTTATATGCAAATAAGATCCATTTATCAGCGATGCTTACACTGACTAATACGACGACAGAACGTGTCGAATCCCTACGTCTCGCTTCGACGACTTTCGTCGCAGACGAAGAGAAAATCTAGTACTTCTTAGAGTTGGATTCACAAGTCAATCTAAATATACATGGTGAAATTTCTTGCGAGCCTTAAATGCAACAAGAAAGCTAGTTCACGGAAGAAAACAAAGATTACCGCATGCAAAAGTAGCTCTTCTTGCTAATGACACTAAGATTCTGTCTTAAAATGCTATTAGCTTTTTTTTCATTGAATACGATGAAAAATTTGGTGATATGACCGTTTTACCAGAATTTACAAAAGAAATGTTACTTCATAACCGTTCAATCTGTCTACAGAGGCGACACCATTAGGCTTACTAAAGTTTTCATATTATATTTTATGGGATCAAATGAAAGCATGAAATCTCATTAAAAAAAATAATCTTTTCAAATAACTTTAGTGTCATTTTAAGGTTTACGTATTTATTTATTTAATATTTAATTATTACCGTCTCATTTCATTTTTTGAATCATATCATTATGAATAATAAAGGGTCATGCTTATATTCAAACCCAATTTAAACGTAACGTAAAAAATGTTTTCTATTCAAATAATGTTTGTGTATTCAAGTTTTTATCCTTTAAAATGACATTTTATATTTTTAGTTACACATGTACAGTGTGTTAGTGACCATATACAACATGTACGGGTTCAGTTAATTCCATATGGGACGAGAACAAGCAAAGCTCGAGCCCCATATGTAATTTATTGACTTCGTATATATCGTATTAGGTCACTAGCACACTGTGGAAAGAATTTAACTTACCAACTATCTTAATAGAGGTTTCTCAACATCTTACAAACGAACAAAAATCGCCCTAACTTGACTTAACTTGTCATAACGATAGAAAAGAGGGAGTATTCATGTATTTATTAATATTGGACTATCGGCTGTTCATTCCATTAGAAATGTCTTTTACATAAAAATATACATGTAGGGGTTTTTTTTAAAACCATTTTGAGTTGTAGGCATATTATATTGACTTGATATATATATAATATACAATTAACGATTCAATCAACACAGTAGTAAATCTAATTTATCAATTAATTTTGGCAAAGAATATGAAATATTTAGACCAAGGACAGTAAGCGTACAAGAGATTTTGATAAACATGACATCATATCGAAATTTGTTAGTACATACATGTGAAAAAGGGAAAATGTAGAACTTTAGGATGGCAGGGGCTAGGAATCTTTTTGAAAACTTATCTAGGCTCAGATCAAAGGTAAAAAGTCCTGCGCAAAAATGAGGTAAAACAAATTTAGGAGTGAACGCCTCTAGAAAAAAATCGATTTTTAATTTGAAAAAAAACCCTCCTCGGATCCGAGATAACTTCGTTGTCCCCAACCCTTAAAATCCATTTTTTTTATATTCAATTCTTCACCTTAAATGATTAATACTGATTTATATTCTACCTAATCTGGCATACTCAAGAAGATAAAGAAAGGGAAATATTGAAACAAATATTTGAAAAAAATCAGTTATCTTGAAAAAGATGTTCTGTAATGTATTGTGTTTTTGTATTTTTTTTTTATATGTTTTGTTTTCATGGCCTTTCTTATTCTCTTTGTGTATGTTTTTATTGTCGTACAAATTTTATTTAAAATTAATTTATTTTGTTTTCTTGTTTATTGTTTTCTTCTGTTCGTTGAGCTTTTATGGCAACATGCTTTATATTTTCTTCTGTTTTTATATTTCTTATTTGTTTCTTTTTATCTTAGGCATGTAATTTTAAAAAATTGTACCTTTTTAATAACTATGTGACTATCAGTTTTGTAAGTGCTGTAGCACTCATACTTACAACTAGAATACATACTAAAGTCAACAGTAGTAAACCGCTTTTTAAAAGTCATAAATCGATTGAGAGGAAACAAATCCGGGTTAAGAACTAAAACCGAGGGAAACACATCAACTATAAGAGGAAAACAAAGGAACAACAGAAATACTGAACTGCAACAAAAAAACAAACGCCAACATACATAGAAACGGACTATTTGATAACAGCTGCCATATTCCTGACTTGGTACAGGACATTTTAAGAAACAATGGTGGCTTAAACCTGGGTTTATGGCTAGCCAAACCTCCCACTTATACGGCAATGTTAAAAAATACCGCTAAAATGACAACACTACGTGACAGGAATACAATACTAACAAACGCAAAAACACTCAGCACAGAGAAATACATAAATAGATAATATAATAGTACATTACAACATGTAAACCGCAGAATAACAACGGACATCTCCAATGAATTAACGACAGCATAGGTCACCACAAACTGCACGTCACATGAATGGATCAACGCCACAAAAAGTGACGTATTTTTGTGACGTATATATTATCAAAGGTAATTTTAAAAATTCATACAATTATATGGAACGAGATCCAAAAATTCACAATTAATACTACTCAAAATAACTATCAGGATTATGACGGTCTTGAAAGGCTATTTTAAATTTATGTTGTGACGACGTCATAATTATTTGGACTAACACAATACTTTATCCATGGAAAATGGAAATCAAATCGACTATACTGACAAATAAGACATATGTGAAATGTACCGAAAATACAGAATTCAAACCACAAACGATAAGACATAACACAATATCTAACCGTACTTACAAAACTCTATTACTTTACGATAGATCGAGTGCACCTTTATATTTATGTAACTGATTCCCAAAATTATTTTGAAAAATTAAATAAAAAGCGGTGTTAACGACATATATATCCAAGAAAGCATAAAACATGCCGTCTTATCTTTTTGTAAGGAGTGGTTCCGAAACTTTATTATAGAATACTATCGAAAATATGTGGGGATGAATGAAGAAATCGAAATGTCATATCTTATCTCTTAATCCATTTTTTATTAATATGAATGTTTATCAAAGTTGCATTACACTTGTACATGTATTAACCTGAATCAGTAAATATGAAAAAAAAATTTATGGTTACCGAGTTGTTGTATTAGACCTTTCTTACTATCTTTGTTTATGAAGTGACAAAGTTTCATTTCTCTGTATCTTTCAAAATTCAATTGTATTCGTTCATAAAGTAGGATAGGATCAGATTACTCTACTTTCAGAACTAACTAAGATCATGTGCACTGCTGATATATTAGTCTTGCTTGGCCTATAAATCCTTGCAAAACCTTTGCAGTCATTCATGCATAAAATGTAGTTCGAGTTAACAACTTAAAACGGATCATCATTAAATTCACAGCTATGACTTATAGTTTACTCAGATTTTTATCTTAAGTATTGAATGCTTCTTTTAGTAATTGTATAGGGTTGTAAAAGCGTTGACCGTGCGCACATTTTCAGAACGCGCTTCATACAAAATGTACAATCAATTTACAAAAAGAAGCATTCAATTCTTAAATAAATAGCATAAAATGCAAAATTTACCCACAACTAACTTATTATAATTAAACTTTAAAAATGCTATACACCTTTAGGAATTCACTTTTTCTTTCCAGTTATCTTATTTTCATATTGTCTTTAATGAACTAATTCTCACAAGTGCAGGCATGTGTACGTAGAACATTTAATAAAAGAATAGAAAACATTTAGTGTCATTGGTTCGTTGTACCGTCACCCAAAATGGCAATTTTCTTGTGCTGTAGAACTCTGTGCTGGGTTATCAAAAAGACGTGTGGATAAATGAAACATATTAAAGTCTTGTCATCTCGATCACTTTGCAATCCTTTTATCAAATGCAAATCTCGTCGTGATATGCATGGAATACTTTCCAATGAACGTTAAACATCCAACAATCAATCAATCAAATGCAAACCAGATGCGCGGAAATTTCTTTTTAACAACGACATCACAAAAACAATGTTCTTTTTAAATGGATAAGGGAGATAAATCGAACGCATATACAACATGTAAACAAATGAAACTCAACGTAAGATTACGCAACATTCAACAACACAAAATAACCACTACAATAAAATGCAAGGTTGCAAAAAGAATATCATATTGTGTTTCCTGTTGTCTTTATTCACACTGCAATATCGGTAGAAATGTGTTACTGAACAAAATCACTGCTCCTTAACGAAACGTTCGTAGAGTTTCGTCCGTTCGTATCACAATTTTAACATAATATTAAACAAAACTTTCAATTTGAAAAATTGAAAAGGACTATCAAAACTTTCAATTATTTACAGTGAAAATGTCAGCTTCTCTTAAACATGTTTTTGTCTAAAAGCCTGAAAATATAATGAGGTATGTTAAT